CCAACCTCGCGTCTGCAATGACCCAGCGCATTAAAAAAAAAAAAAAAGCCACAGGTCGGGGACAGAGGGGCACTGCCCAAGTTTAAAAGAAATGAAGACAGATCACTCCCAAATGTCACAGCCAGATCTTGTTCCGGCCGGGATTAGACAGACAGCCACTTTCTCCAAACTGTCGGGGATGTTTGGTGAGGCTGGTAGGTGAGACACTGAGGCAGGGGTCGGGTAGGAGTCTGTCCGTCCACGTGTTCTAGACCACGGGGTGCTGGGAAACATTTCACAGCCGGCTCTCCGCGCTGGGGCTGTCCGTGGCGCCTGCGGTGTCCACGTGCAAACACCCCCAGCTGCCAGACGACTCCACTGCACGTGGAGTTGGGAAGAGAAGCGCAGTGAGGTGCCGGCTGCTCGGCGTGCCACTGGCTACAAAGATGTACAGGTGGGTGGAATGACAGGTATCTGGCAGGTGTTTGCAATAATTCAGTAAAGTTTCTAAATACGATTTATGTATATGAAAGGCACAGTGACAGATAGAGACCTTCCATCTGCTGGTTTACTCCTCAAATAGCCTCAACAGCTAGGTCCGGGCCCTGCCAGAGCCAGGAGCCTGGAACTCCATCCGGGTCTCCCACGTGGGTGGCAGGAGCCCAGGGACTTGGACCATCCTCCGCCCCTTCCCCAGGTGCGTTGACACAGAGCTGGATGGGCACTGGAGCAGCCACGATTCAAACTGGGGCTCTGATGCGGGATGCCAGCGTTGCAGGAGACAGCTTAACCTGCTGCACCCCAACAGCAGCCCAGGAAAGAGGTTTAAGAGCAGATGAATAAAAGAAGGAAATATTAACCACTGAGGATCTGCGTGAGCCATATCCGGGGGTTCCCTAGACCATGGCTGCCTCCTACCGTGTGTATTTGAACTTTTACATAATAGATAACTTGAAGGCTGCCACCACCTTCTGTGTAGGAGGGAGACTTTCATCCCGAGAATTCTAGGCGGGCACATTGATTCCTGGGCCCCTAACCCCGCAACCTCCTGGTGGTCTGGAGGTCCAGGATGGGAACCTTAGCCACGGACATCACATACTAAATCCATCTGTCAATCACTATCACCCGCTGAATCCATCTGTCAATCATCATCGCACACTAAATCCATCTGTCAATCATCATCGCACGCCAAATCCATCTGTCAATCACCAGTTGGTCAGAACCAAGGTTTCTCCAAAGACTGTGTGCAGGGCAGAGAGCACACAGCAGCCAGGGCGCCGCCTGGAAGTCCTGTCTGTGCTGTCTGCTAACAGTGGGGCCTCGGGCACCTCACTCCAACTTCCCTCCTGACAAATAAGGGCACAGACAATTTAGGGTGAGAGCATGCGCACTACACAGAGAGCTCCTGGCCCGGCCTGGGACGCACAGCAGGACGCTCAGGAAGCACCGGGCGCCCTCCTCCCCTCCGGGCTCTGCCGGGTTGCAGGGAGGTGAACGGACGGCTGTTTACCACGTGGTGCCCGGCTAACGGCAGGTCTCCCTCCTTCACCCAAGACCGATGTGGCCAGCTCTGCCCCTTTTCCCAGAGCAGCCGTGCACATCTGCCCAGAGCCCGGCATGGCGCCGGCAGGGTGGCGCTACCTTTCGGCTCCTTGGGAAACACACGTGTGAGGGTCAGAACTTTCTAGATCCCAAGCCCAGGCCTCGGGTTTCTCCATCTCAGAACTTGGAGAGGCTGGACTAGCAATTCCAGGCACGGGCCGAGCAGATGCTCCGTCCCCACGCGCCTCCAGGCCTGGGCTGGAGACACCACCAACCACACAGCTCTGGACGGCTTCCCCAAGAGCTGGCGATAATTTAGACACGCTGTATGTGATTCTTTCTGATTAAAAACTTGGCCGGGCGCCCCGCCCTCCGTGAATTTTCATAGTTACTAAGGAGAACTCACTCCAAAAATGGGCTGATCAGAAAGTCAAGAGATTGGCCTGGTGGAGCTGGGTGAGTTCGGATTCTGCCACGTGGGGGGAGCTCCAGGCGCCAGCGCCACCGCACCTCGGGCCTCGAGGCTCTGGGCCCAGCAGTGCCCTCCTCGGCGGAGAAGACGCTGGCCCAGTGACGGGTGGAGCAGTGGTCCAGCGCCCGGCCCTCCGGCCCATTTAACCCTTGCGTGCCTCACTTTCCCCGTATGTAAAATGGCAAATTGCAGTAACAGCCCCAGCACTGTGGAGGTGTCGATGTCTCCTAGGGACTCAGAACAGTGCGCGGCTTCACAGCCCAACAGTACCTGCCTCCCAGGGCTGTGGCCAGGGCTGAGTGGGTTCACCCAGGAGAACCCCTTGGAACAGTGGCCGGCGGGGAGGAAGTGCCAGACACGGCCACCTATTAATACCAGGGAGCTGCCGACGACTGAACTTTCTGGAAGTAACCAAAGGCTGTGCTTTCGCGGCAGAACTGCTCCTGAAAGCCTGGAGAGACGTCCACTGACTGAGCCACAAGGGCTCCTCCGAGCCCTTATCTCAGATCAGGGCGCGTCATTCTGGCCAGCGGCTGCGTCCCCTCCCTGGGTGGCTCAGCTGGGTCCAGCTCCCAGGGCTCAGGCAAAACCACTGCTTTGGGTCCATCTCCGGCCCCCACCGGGGAGAGGGAGAACACGGATTAGGCTGTGTTGTCCTCCCCCGAGGGACACAGACACTGAAGCTCCTGTGGCTCCCCAGTGTCGAGGACGTGTGCTTGGGGACAGAGGCTCAAGTCCAAACACCCGCGTCCCAAGTGCACCACTCTCCTGGGGCAAGCCGCTCATCCCTCTGCTACGTGGGGACGTCACCCCAGCGGCTCCCGAGGTTTGCGGCAAGGCTTGCTGGAGTGAGTGTGAGGCCCTTAGAGCAACGCCTGGCCGGGGCTCCACGCTGCGCGACACAGCCCCGGTGCCTGGCGCGGGCCACGTTTGGCCTGATTCCCCCTGAAAATGTTCTGATTGGGAAGGAAAGTCCATGGCCACCCTAAACTAATTACCTGTCGCTCTTTATTATTGCTGCTCTCTGCCGTACCACACCCTGGTACGCCCAGCTCAAAAGAGTTCAGAAACCCAGGAGCGGCCTTAGTCCCGGGGGAGGGCAGCCTCTGCACTGAGGACGCTGTGCTCCGGTCCTTCTCTGACTGATCGCTCCGCACCTGGGCCAAGGGGCGTCCCTAGCCCCTCCCCACTGGGTCACACTCAGGCTACCCAGCCCCTGGGATTCCCAAAAGGAGAGCCCGGAGCCCACTCCTGGGACCTGTGCGGGTCTCTTCCCAGATCCAGCCTCTGAGGACAGACTGTTCCCTGCTCCAGTGCCTGAAGGGTGGCCAAGAGGCAGCCCTTCATGGGGTGCAGGGGGAGGGGTGACCCCAGCTTGCACGCACAGGCTGAGATGTGCACATATGTGCACATGTATGCACGAGGCCCTGATGGGCGGGACAGAGAGCAGGGTGGGGCGGGGCACAGGCCAGTCACCAGGGGCGCCCTCCCCTTTGCGTCATGGCGCTCCCTCGTGGGGTCACCGGATTCTGAGGCTGCCGAGGGCAAAGCTGGCCAGCCAGGTGTGTCTGTGAGAGGAGGCACGTTTGGTTAGCTCCACTGACAACCTGCACATATTTAGACACCGGGCATGTCAGCCTCCATCTGCACTCCCGCAGACCCCTGCCCCCTTCCTGCCCACTCTCAGGGCCCGATGTACCCACTCGCACCAAGCCCCTCCTGGGTGCCAGGCACCATCCCAGCAGCCAAACAGGAGCAGCTCTGTGGGAGCCAACCTCCTGGGGATTCTTGCCTCTGTCCCCAGCCCCGGTCACATGGAGCCGGTCCCTGTCCCTCGCAGGGCCACAATTTCCCCATTTAGATAAGAGGACCCTCTAGCTCTGAGTGACAGCTGAGTGCAACTCCAGGCAGGGTTGAGGTAGAATCGGATCAGCGACCTGGGAGGGTGTGCCCCGGGGCGTGGGGAATTACCGTGTGGGTCTGGGCTCTCTGACCAGCCAGGCACAAGCTCTGGCAACCTCTCTCTCATTCATTCGTTCATTCTGCAATTGCCGCAGCCACCCACCCTGTGCCAAGCTCTGGGCGACAGCTTCGGGTCTGGGGACCGAGGTGGCTGAATCGCCCCGGTGTGGGAGGAGAAAGCAAACCAGCCCGCAGAAAACCGACACGCAAAGCCAGACTTGGCGACCCTGGGCAAAGGAGCCGTTCCCTCGCTCGGTCCTTCCTCCTAAGCCCTAGGGGGTCCTATGCTGACTTCTCGCAGGAGAAAACCGAGGCTCCGAGAGAGTAAGGGGCTTGGTCAAGACCTCGCAGCTCAGGGCGTGCCCAGAACTTGTGGCTAGCCAGAAGCGAGGTTTCGGATTCCGCAGTCTCAGGCCACTGTCCCGAGCTGCCCGAAGCCGGAGAGGCCCCGTCCAGCTCCCGGAAGGCTGGAGGGAGGTAAGCGCCAGGGAGGGGCTGGAAGGCAGGACGTGCGGCCCCGGAGGCCGGGAGGGGCCCGGCCGGGGCGTCCAGGCAGCACCGAGCGCCCGGGTGCGCGCAGCTCCGGGCGCCCGGAGCGCAGAAGCCCGGGTGAGCGCGAGTGGCAAGCGGCGCTCGGGCCGGTGGCCGCGGGCGGGCCGGGGCGTGGGCTCCCAGGCGCCGGCGGCGGGCGGGGGGCGCGGCGAGGGCCGCGCTGCAGTGCCCGCAGCGGCGGGCTGGGGGAGCTGTGCCCGCCTGTCCCCAAGGCCCCGGGCGAGGACCGGGCAGCTGGGGCGGCGCGCCTCTAGCCCGGCCGGACGAGGCGGCGCACAGCCGGGCGTGCCCCGAGCGGGCTCGGGCCCCAAGTCCTCCCGGGCGCCCGGCCGGGGAGGCCCCCGGAGAAGCCCAGTCCCGCGGGCTAGGGCGGCTGCCGCGGCGGCCGCTCCGGCCCGCCCCCGGGGGGTGTCCCGGGCCGCTGGGCCCGCCCAGGTAACCCCATCCTCGGCCCGCCCCCGGCCCGCCCCCCCGGCCGCCCGCCCGCCTCCGCCGCCGCTGCCGCCGCCGCCGCCGCCGCCGCATCCCGGCTCTGGGGCGGCGCTGACAGTCTGGTCCGCGCCGGGCAGCGGGCGCACAGCGGGCAGGGCGGCCGGCAGGCACGGAGGCAGAGCTCCGCGCGCGCCCCGGCCCGCGCCCCGCGCCGCGCCGCAGCCCGCCCGCGGGCGCCCACCTGCCGCCCCGACGGGAGGCCCCCCGCGGCCGCAGCCGCTGCCCCGGGCCGGGCGCCCGCGGCGGCACCATGAGCCCCCGCTCGTGCCTGCGTTCGCTGCGCCTCCTCGTCTTCGCCGTCTTCTCGGCCGCCGCGAGCAACTGGCTGTAAGTCGGGCCGGGACCCGGCAGGGCCGGGCGGGGCGGGGCGGGGCAGGCCCCGGGGGCAGCGGCCGGTGCCAGGCGGCGCGGGGCAGCGGGCGCGGGGGGCGCCCGGCAGGTGTCTCGGCCGCCGGACGGGAGGCTCGCGGGCTCTGCTGCCGCAGCCACTGCCCGGGCCTCCCTCCAGAGAGCCGCGTCCCCCTGCCCAGGTCCGGCTCCCGGACCGGAGGTGGCGGGGCTGGAGGCGGCGGCGTCCGCACCCGTATGGGCGGCCCGGGGCGCTCGCGGACACGAGGGGTGCTAGCGCCGGGCAGCGGCCCAGGAGGGGTGCCGGCACCGGGCGCAGCCCAGCGGGGTTGACAGGTCGCGGGGGAAGCCCATTACGGGGAAGGGCTCCAGGACATAATAGCAGGTTAATCCCGAGAAGCCCGGAACGAGCTCCCCGCGCAGAGCTGCGCCGATCTGCGGGCTGGGCGAGAGAGGCGTGCAGGGACCTGTTTCTGCTTGGGGGGCGGGAGCCCGCGATAGCAGGAGGGAAGGGCCGGGGCCGCCGGCTGCGGGGCCTTGGTTTCCCCCGGGGCAGGAGGAAACTCCCTCCAGCCCTGGGAGCCGAGCACAGCCCCGCACTCCCTGCGTATGCTCAGGGAGGAAGGGGTGGTGACTGCCGGTGACCCGTCTGCCCGGCCGCTTCTCCTGTGCTCTGGGCTCCTTGGCAAGCGGCAGAGGGTCGCTGGGAGTAGGGGTGTAACCGCGCCAACCCGGAGCAAGGGGACCCTGGACTGCTCCACCCACCCCCACCCCCAGGGATGGTTCCGGGTGCCCCAGGGGGTAACCCTGCCCAGAGCTCTGCCCGCTGCGGGCAGCCAGTGGGGAGCCAGGCTCCAATATTGATCTGAAAAGCATGAGGTGGGAAGGGGGCTAGCCGGCAGTGTAGCCGGGTTTCCATGGAGACAGCGGGAGAGGAAAAAATTCTCTCGGCATCAAGACTGAAGAACAAATATCTCCCATGAAATTGCCCCGAGTGTCCAATGGCTGTTGCTATGAGGTCATTGTGGCCAGCCGGGGCCCTGCAGGCTGGAAGGAGTGTGTTCGTCGGGGTCAGAGCCACCCAGGGCTTGGGGGACGGAGGTGATGTGGAATTCTCCCAGCTGTTCCGGGAGTGAGCGGCTCCAAGGCAGCCCAAAGTGGCTGCGGGGCTTTTGTTTTTCTTGGAGCCTTAATTTGATTAACACTTCAGGAGCAGTGGCAGGGTGTACAGAAACCAGGGCACCGCCACCTCCCACCCCGAGTGGGGCCTGGGCCACCGCCACCGAGCCAAGGAGGAGAGCTGGTTTGGACTTTGGGGGAGCTTGGGATCCGTGGAGCTGGCTCTCCAATGAATGGGCTCAGGGCTGGAGTCGCCCCGACAGGCCTGAGCCCAGGAGGAGCAAGAGGTGGCTCTGACCTGCCCAGCACAGACAGCTGCGAAAAAACAGAGCTGGGGGTGGGGGGCAACTCCAGCGCCGGACCCAGGCCTTGAGGGAAGACAGCGACATCTGCAGAGCAGAGTCCTCCAGTGGACTGTAGCCTTTCAGGACACTTTACAGATGAGAAAACTGAGGCCGGGCAGGGGAAGCCCCTTGCCCACACCGAGCTGAGCGCTGCGCCCAGGTGGTCTGACTCCCAGGCAGTGACGCGACCCCCTCCTCCCTGAAGCTGCCCCACAGATGAGCCGATGTGGCCCACATGGGCCCTGTAGCCACCTTCAGCCACGTCCATGCCCAGAATCCCAACCAGGGCGGCAGCTCCGGCTTTGGGTCACGCACACCATGGGGAATTCCAAGAGCTCAGTTCTCCGACCCGAGCCATGCGGGTGGGTGAGGAGGGGCGGCCCAGAGGGAGGAGAGAGGTGGGCAAACCTGTTTTCTGCACGGCGATGGTGCAGGTTGCCACGAAGCAGGTCTCTGGATGGCCCCGCTCGCTCCTGCTCCACCCGGGCTCTGAGCCAAAGGTCACTGCTCAGCCCAGGAAGAACAGGGGTGTCCCGGGACCCCACCAAACGAGGGAGCTGAACGGGAGCCCAAGCAGTCAGACGGGGCAGCTGGCCCAGAGCTTGTAGGATCTTGACACTGATTGTTGTCCCAACTCTCACGGCCCTGAGTCCCGGCAACATTTCAGTCCCATTGTACAGATGAGAAGGTTGGGGATCCCACCGGCAATTGCCCAAAACCCCCTAGCACGGAAATGGCAGAAGTGTGGGACCAACAGCTACCTCCAGAAAGGAGCACTCCCGGCGGGACAGGGGGATGTGCCTTTGGGGCTGGTGGCTGGCACCGTGCCTTTGCAGGTGGGAGCTCTGCTGGAGGCCCGGCCCCCAGAGCCTGGCCAGCAGTCGGCACGGAGCGCAGGGGCTCCCTTCCCAGTACCTGGAGGCAGGCTTCCGTGCAGGGGTGGGCTGCTGTCTGTTGTCTCAGGAGGGCGGGCAGCCTGGCGGGGAGGCCAGGTGTCCCGCTGCATGCAGCTGTCGGGCAGGACAGGGCTTGGAGCTGGGAGGGCTCGGCAGCCTGGGGCCTGGGCAAGCCCAGAGAAGCTGAGAGCTGTTGATCAGAGTCGAGTCTGGCACCCAGGCCAGGTTGACAGCTTGTGGCAGCTCCCACCACTGAGGGAGGAAGGGAGGGAGGGAGGGAGGGAGGAAGAGAGGCTGGTGGAGAGAGCCCCTCGCTGGGAGGCCTGGGCTCTGCCCTCCGGGGGCTGCCCTGCCACCGACTCGGGCTCAGCACTGTGTCTGAGTGTGCCTCCCGCACCGGCACCACATGCTAGGTGGCCCCGGGCGGCCTCTTCCTCCCTCCAGGCCATAGTCCTCAGCAGATCAGCCGGAACCCCGGATGGAAGTCCGGGGACGAGCTGGTGACTCGATCAGCCAAGGTCCCACTGCTGTGAGTTTCCTGGGGGAAAGGCAGGCTCTGCTGAGCTGGGGCCCAGGCAGGAGCTCCTGGGGTGAGGGAAGAGATCCTGAGCTGCAGTCCGGGGCAGCCAGCAGAGGGCTGAGACCTGGGGCCCGGGGACAGGCGGCACCTCGTCCAGCCCCAGCTCTGCCACTGCCCAGCTGAGTGACCTGGGACAGGTCACTTAACCTCCACGAGCCCCAGGTGCCTGTTCTGTAAAACCATGCCCATTGGTGCAGACAGTACAAAGTGGTAGGCGGGAGGAAGGGGTGAGTCGCTGGGTGCAGCCTGCAGGTGCAGGACCAGGCGCCCTGGTGGGAATGTAGCTGTGGCGGTGCTGGGCGCCGGGGGTGGGATCGGTGAGCTGCACATGGCCCTGTCTCTGAGAGGCTAGGGAGAGCAGGTGCTCAGGCTGCCGCTCCCAGACTGTCCTGCCTGGATCCTGTGGTCTCACCCAGATGGGATGCTGTGCCCCTGCCCTTCAGCCAGGGCCCCCCACAAGTCTTCTGGAGCCGGGGACACCCCACCTGGCTCACAGGCACTGGGCCAGAGGCGCTGGACCTGGGAGCACCCTGCGGTGCCACTGGGGGAGGCGGAGTCTTCACACACCTTCCTGGCTCGGAATCCGCACAGGTGTGTGTCTTTGGGCCAAGCTCCCATGTGCCTGCTTGCCTGATTGCGGGGCGGGGTGACTCCCTTAGCTGTGGTGGGGTGAGGCCCGATGCCCGGGCACAGCTCCGTGGCCAGGTGTGGGGCAGAGCAGCCAGCCCCACAGGTAAGGATGTGGCCAGTCTCCCCCAGAAGTGGCCCCCTGGCCCCAGTTAAAAGATCCCCTCCTTCCTCTCTTGAGAGTAAAAACTCATCTCCTTGGAGCTCCTCCCTTGGCTCCGGGAGTCACAATCACAGCCCCACCCACCGAACTTTACAGTTTACACTGGTTTCTCTGCAGTGCTATTTGGGGCCTGGTGCTGCTGTGTTCCGAGTCTGGCCCGGGCAGCATCCCAGGCCTCTCACCATTAGATGCCCATAGCACCCCTTCCCTTTCCAAGCGACAAGGTACAGATGCTGCCACAGATACCACGTGACCCTCCTCCCTAGTCTTACTTTCAACCCGACTTCCTACTCGAGGTCGTCTGCACAGCCAAAGCCAGGACTTGAACTTGACTCGCTCTCACGCACAGTCTCCTGCCCCTGCCTACAGAACCGTTTCCTACTGCACAGAACTGCAGGCCCCGCGGCTGCTCCTGCAAACACGTGGAGGCCAGGGCGGGCACACAAGCTCCCCGGGACAGCCTTGCAGGGCCTGGCGCCTGCCTGTGGGGAGTAGGCGCTCGGTCGGCCCTCCATGGGCTGTGGGTCTAAGCTGTCACCAAATGGCAGCCCCCCTCCAAAGGCCCTGCTCCCATGACCCCCGGAATGTGCCCAGGTGGGTGCCAGCAGGTGCGGCTGTCCCCCAGCATCTCCCGTCCGTCCTCGGCTGCGGCAGCCCCGCAGAGCCAGGCCGGGCCGTTGCTCACCCTTCCGTCCCAGGGCCCCAGGCCCGGGCTCTGCCTGAGGGGTGTGCACAGGCGGCAGTCACGACCCAGCTGTCTGCCACGGTTTGACTCTGCCTTCAGCCCTGGATTAGCAATTGAGCGACTCAGCAAGCATCCGACAAGACAGCGCTCCCCAAACCTGTTGAAACCCGCCCAGCTCGGGCCCTGGGGGTGCCTCTGCAAAGCTGAGCCTTTGCACCCAGCCTCCTCCTCCTCCTCCTCCTCCTCCTCCTCCCCTCCTCCTCCTCCTCTCCTCCGCGGGAGGAAGGGCTTGGGCTGTGCTGACCACGGGGCACACACGGGCCAGGGCGCCGCTGGTGGGGTGACAGCCTCCGGTCACCCCTCCGCTCCAGCCGAGCCTGCAAACCCAGCTGCAAGGCGGAGCTGCGACCCCGCGCGCTTCCCAGATTTCCGCAGGAGTTGCCAGCTTTTATCTCGGAGTCCTGAGCTGCATCTTCTATGATTCAGCCAGACTCGAGAAGGCTCGCTCCCTGCCGTGACCCCACCGGCTCCCCCTTCCCCCGTCCCAAGCCCTTGCCACCTCCCC